CATTGAGAGTGAAGTACGTGCGGTCGAGCTTCTGTTGAGCACTCCACTGCTTGTTGTCGGCAACGCATTCGTAATGCTCAAGCCAATCTTCAACATCTTCATGGGGCCACCACTGAAGCGATCAGGTACAAGTGGCTGATGAAGTGTTACCTGGGTAGGATTGAAAACAGGGCTGCCTTGTATCCCTTGGACCACCTGTGGCTGGCTGGCGGAGGCCGTTGGCAGAGGTACGTACTGCCTGGTAGAATGTTCGTCCAAGGAGGTAAGCTCAGGAGAGAGGCCTAGCAAACGCCGACTGAAGCGATGCACTGGTGTCGTATCGGTAGCTGCGTGTCGGGACTTGATGAACGGCTCCCAGATGGGGTGTTGAGCTTCGGCAGGCTTGCAGTCCAGCACCTCCACTAGTGTCACCACTACCAGCCACCTACAGCCGCACCTTCATCACAACCTTTGCAGGAGGCTTTCAGACGTCGGCCCATGTCTCCGATGTCTTCATGCCACCAGACACCACTTACCGCGCCTTGCTCACCACCACAAGAGGACGTGGGATGCGCACAATTTTGCAGAACGGACGCTTGGCCCACTGTCGATCGGCGCCCTCCCTGCTTCAACTGCGGTGGGGCCGGCCATATAGCTCGCTATTGTTGCTACCGCCACACATTGCTTACCCCGTCTCGGCCAGGATACGACGGTCACCGTGCCAATGCCTACTACATTGTTCGCCATGACAACCCTGGTTTTGAGGACCTCCAACAACGTGGTCTCCCTATCGCGAGTCGGTTCCTAATCGCCAGCCCAATTCCGCCCACAGGTCACGCTCTCCATCCCCTGCTCAGACATCGTCACCGAATCGACGAACTTTTGCTGATCTTCGGAGAACAAGGTCGCCCAGCCCTTACCAGGAAAACCAAAGGCGGCGGCCTCTTTGGGTAAGATCGCAGCCCGACCATAAGGAGATAAAAAGGCCCCAGTACTGCCGCTACAAAACGACTCGACGCCGACGAATATTAACAACGACGAAATGGTGAGCGCCGACCTCAATGTAATTATTGATGGGGAGCAAGTGACGGCCTTAGTAGATACGGGTGCTGATTTTTTCCATAATAAGTCACAGGCTGGCCAGTTATAGAAAAGAAAAACGCCATGCACACGACCATATATAAGAACAGCGGTTGGTCAATTGTTACTCTCTACTGAAAGATGCGCAGCAAGAATTAGCATAGGAGAATCTTCTTTCGTCGCGACTTTCATCGTTCTCCCAGAGTGCTGCAAAGATTTAATTAAAGAAATGGACTTTTTCAGGGAGCATGGTGCCACAATCAACATCCCGGGCCACGTGATGCCGTTTTACGAGAGTGCTCATCTGATTGATTCCTTATCACCAGAGCACAAATCTTTTTGTCTCAAAGACCACAATATAGTCGTGCCGCCTCGATCATGTATCCTCGTTTCAGTAGCATGTGACGTACCGTTCGATGGTGAAGGAGTCGCCGACCAACTAACCTCACTGCTTTTAACTCACGGGATTTCAGTAGCACGAGAATCGTCATTGTCACCGACGGCTGAACGAACTTGTTGTTGACCAATTTCACCTCCAAGCGACGGCACCATCTAAAAGGCACAACTTTGGGGCATATTTTTGTCGTGGACGCAGCCACAAGGAGATGGCGCTATGCGTACCGCATCACGTGACGCGCGGGACGATTTGGCAGCAGATCGCTGGCGCGAGTGTGTGCGACCGTGTCTGTCGAGCTAACATGTAGCCGCGCTAGCACACATGGTTTAATCCAATCCTTTGACCATTAAACAGTTGTCGTTATCCGTCGGCTCGTTCGTGTTCTCAGTTCCCGACGACGACATGGTGGCAGCGGTGGGATGCGTGGAAGCACGACAACGCTGTGAAGAGGGCACCGGACAAGTAGGCCTAACAAACGCCGGCATCGAACACGGAACTTTGCAGCACCCATGGCAACGCCTACAGTGCCCACAGCTCAGCCTGCAACCCCGCTCAACCCTTTCGTCGTCGAACTGCCGGAAAAGCTCTACTTTCGGCGACCCGAGGAGTGGAAGCGGTGGTTTACACGATGGGAAAGGTACCGCGTCATCTCAGGTTTGAAGAAACAAGACGACGAAACCCAGGTGAACACACTCATTTACGCGATGGGCCATGAAGCAGAAGATGTCCTGGCGTCGCTCAAACTTTCTGACGCTGAGAAACTCAACTACGACGCGGTAACACGAGTGCTTGCGAAACATTTCGTGCCGCGGACGAGCGTGATATACGAGCGGGCGAAGTTCAACAGCCGGAAGCAAGAAGCGCATGAGTCAGTCGACGCGTTCGCAACCGAGCTCTACCGACTGGCCGAAACCTGCGAGTACGGAGATCTCAAAGAAGAATTGATCCGCGACAGGCTCATGGTCGGCCTTGCAAACACGCAGCTAAGCGAGAAGCTGCAACTTAACGCCGAGCTGACTCTTGAAGCCGCCATCACCGCTGCACGCAACTCTGAAACGATGAAGCTGCAGCGAAAAGATCTACGGCCGCAGCAACAGGTGCCTGCGGCTGTTTACGCCATGCGTGGATGTTCGAAGAGCAAAGGAAAGCCAAATCAGCGCTGTCAAAAAACACAGCGTGACCAAACTGTGCCGACGTGCAAGTGGTGTGGCTCAACAACGCACCCACCATCACGCACTATGTGTCCGGCAAACGGGAAAGTATGCAGTGCCTGCGGCAAAAAGGGACACTTTGCCGCCGTGTGCTTATCTGCCTCTGCGAGGAAGAAAAAGAGCACCCACCAAGCTGTTTTGGAAGAGGTTTACTTGGGTCAATTGACCAATCAACGGGACTCTGGACCGTGGAGGACTGACTTTACAGTAAATGGCTTGCCAATGAAGTTAAATATAAACACTGCTGCAGATGTTACCGCTATACCTACAAGTCTCTACAACGAACAAGTCATGGGCAACCTGAAGCAGGCCAAGAAACAGCTGCTTGGACCCGGCCTGACCAAAATCGCAACAATAGGTCTATTTAGCGCAACCTTGTGCTGGAATGGCCGCGAGTGTCAAGAAGAAACTTACGTGATCGACAAGTTACACGATGCACTTCACGAACGTCCAGCAATCAAATCATTGAATATCCTTCCAAGCCTCCTCGAAATCACAGCGTCAACAAGCAACGTCAGTGACCCTGCTAACATTCTCTGCCACTACCCCAACTTGACTACAGGCCTGGGCCTTTCAAGACAGAATACAAGGTAATATTACTCCCCGATGCCAAGCCGAGTGCTATTACGTATCCGCGGCGAGTACCCCTACCCATGCTGCCTAGTGTCCAGCGTGAGTTGGAGAGAATGGAGAACCTTGGTGTCATCATAAAGGCCGGCGAGGCCACAGAGTGGTGCGCACTTATGGTAGTCGCGAAAAAGAGAGGGGGCGAGCTTCGAATCTGTGTTGACTTCGGAGGGTTAAACAAGAACATTCGGCGGGAACGAGTCGTAATGCCCACTGTCGACGTATGTTTGGCCAGACTTGCCAGTGCTACATAGTTCAGCAAGCTTGATGCAAGGGCTGGTTATTGGCAAGCTCCGCTAGTACCCGAGTCCCAGAAGTACACTACATATCTGACGCCATTCGGCAGGCTTCAGTTTCTCCGATTGCCCTTTGGAATTTCGACAGCACCCGAGTTTTTCCAGGGGGAAATGCTAAGAGTTCTAGAAGGCATCCAAGGCCAAGCATGTCTACAAGACGACATTATAGTGTTTGGTCCTTCAAGGCAAGAACATGACGCACGACTGCACAAAGTACTGCAGTGCCTGCAAGAAGCTGGCATCACCTTGAACGCAGAAAAATGCGTACTACATCAGCAGTCTGTGAGATTCCTGGGATACATCGTGTCGGCGAATGGTATCAGTGCCGACCCTGAAAAGGTCAACGCACTGTGTCACCTAGCAGAGCCTACAGATGTAACAGAAGTGAGGTCCTTCTTGGGAATGGCCAACCACTTGGCCAAGTTTCTCCCGGGGCTTTCGCAGCTCACAAAACCGTTGCGTGACTTGCTTCACAGCGACGCCAAATGGTTCTGGGACAAGTCACAGCAAGAACGTTTCAACGCTGTCAAGAAAGCATTGACAAGGACTCCAGTGCTTACTCACTACGACCCTTGTAGTCATCACACTGAGTCGGCGGACGCATCGTCGTACGGTCTTGGATCAGTCCTCCTTCAAGAGACAGCGGGTCGGAGGCTTCCAGTTGCCTATGCCTCAAGATCCCTCTCTGACACGGAGACGCGATATGCGCAAATAGAGAAAGAAGCACTGGCAGTAACATGGGCCTGCGAGCATTTCCGCTCCTATCTTCTTGGTCTGCAGTTTCACGTGGAAACTGATCACAAGCCACTGGTGCCACTGCTATCATCAAGCCGCCAGGACGAACTTAGTCCCCGTCTGCAACGGTTCCGTATGAGACTCCTCGAGTTCAATTACACGATTGCCCACATCCCAGGCAAGGAAATGCATACAGCCGATGTGCTCTCAAAGAAACCGCAGAAGGAAACAGACAACAGCAGCCCAAGGAGCCTCAGCAAGGTCATCGTAGAACATGAAATTCTCGCAATGGAACTTCTGCCAGCTTCCCACGATATGCTTGAAAATATAAAGGCAGCACAAAAAAATGATCCTGTTCTAGCAAGAGTTAGGGACTACTGCACGATGTCGTGGCCCAAAGAAGTGGCACTACCTCCGGACGTGCAGAAGTATTCAGAATTTGCCCATGAACTGACACAAGTGTATGGAATTTTGCTCAAAGGCAACCGCATTGTAATTCCACAAAGCATGCAAAGTGGTGTGCTAGAGCACTTGCATGCCGGTTATCAGGGCGTTGGGAGATGTAGGGCTCGAGCCACTCAATCGGTGTGGTGGCCAGGCATTAACCAGCACATCCAAAGTTATGTGTCATGATGCCCTGTCTGTCAACAACACCATAAACCACACGCCGAGCCCATGATACTCTCCCCACTTCCCAAACACCCATGGAAAGCAATAGGAATCGATCTTTTCTGTGTGGATGGAGTTAACTACTTCGTGGTTGTGGACTACTACTCACGTTTCTTTGAAATCAAGAAGCTGAAGCGTACCACCACACAGAACACAACTGAAGCACTGAGTCAGATCTGCGCGCGCTTTGGGGTACCGGCTATCATACGATCAGACAATGGCCCTCAGTTTGCTTCGGCACAGTTCAAAGCGTTTGTCAAGCAATGGGGATCAAGTCACGTAACCAGCAGCCCCTACTTCCCTCAGAGCGACGGTGCGGCAGAAAAAACAGTTCAGACTGCTAAACAGCTGATCAAGAAATCGCCAAACATCCACAAGGCTCTGCTCGCGCATAGATACACGCCAAGGAAAGAAGGATTCACACCAGCGGAACTCCTCATGGGAAGGCGCCTAAGAACTGACGTGCCCGTGGCACCACGCATGCTGAGGCTACGGTGGAGCACCGTAGAATTTACAAAACGAAACGAAGCCTACAGGATCAAGCAGGGGCAACAATATAACCGGAGACATAGGACCTTAGCAAGAGATCCCATTCAACCGCAGACAGCCGTCCGCATTCTGTCTGGTGCTCCAATAACAGGGATTGTCATTGGGCCAGCTCACACGCCTCGTTCATGTGTGGTGAGCACACCTGGAGGTCTCACAAGACATACCAGCAAACACCTCCAGCCGCTACAACCTGTGGCGACAACAAGTGGACGAACCGTGAGAGCTCCGAGTCGGCTTGACCTGTGACGAGCAGAAGGTCCACTTCAAAGAAGAGGAGGTGTCGTGGACGCAGCCACAAGGAGATGGTGCTATGCGTACCGCATAACGTGACGTGTGGGACGATTCGGCAGCAGATCGCTGGCGCGAGTGTGTGTGACCGTGTCTGTCGAGCTAACATGTGGCCACGCTAGCACGCATGGTTTAGTCCAATCGTTTGACCATTAAACAGTTGTCGTTATCCGTCGGCTCGTTCGTGTTCTCAGTTCCCGACCACGTCGATTTTGATGAGATCGCAGATGTTTGTGACTGCTTTTCAGCACTCGAAGCAACACGTACACAAGACCCACATGACCTAGCACCTAACCATGACGTCAGCCCTACTTTAACATAGCAATAGTGGGAACGCCTGTGCTGCTAGCTGAGTTCCACGACTCTTTCGTGTCGACCTCGAAAGTTGGCCGGACGTCCTTGACCAAGCACCGAATCATCACAGAAGACACGGCTAGACCAATCCATCAAGATCCGTTCCACGTGGATTAAAAAAACGAGAAGTGATAGAACAGCAGGTAACAAAAATACTTGAAGACGACGTCATTCAACCGTCAAAAAGCCCTTTTGCATCATCTGTTGTTCTAGTCAAGAAGAAGGACGGCAGCCTGTGTTTCTGTGTGAATTATCGAAAGCTAAATCAGGTTACAAAAAAGACGAGTACCCCCTTCCCCGCATAGATGGCTCAATCGACAGGCTTCGAAACGCACGTTACTTCTCTTCCATGGACTTAAAGAGCGGATATTGGCAAATTGAAGTCGACCGCAGGGATCGTGAAAAAACCGCTTTCATGACGCCAGATCGACTGTACGAATTTAAGGTTTTAACATTTGGCTTGTGCTCCGCGCCTGCTACTTTCCAGCGTTTCATGGATACCGCTCTTCCTGGGCTTTATTGGAGAACCTGCCTATTATACCTTGACGACGTCATTGTGTTTTCTACAACGTATGACGAACACCTTATATGAACGATTGCAGGTGGTCTTGCACGCCATACGGGCCACAGGCCTGACGCTCAAGCCGGAGAAATGTCACTTCTGCTTTGAGGAACTGCAGTTTCTTGGCCATGTCGTCAGTTACGCAGGACTTTGTCCAGATCCCGAGAAAGTTGCCGCCGTCACACAGTTTCTAACACCACCAGATAAAAAGACAGTCAGGCATTTTCTGGGTCTCTGTGCATATTATCGGCGGTTTATTCCAGATTTTGCGCGCATTGCATCGCTTTTAACTCGTCTCACGAGAGATGACGTTACATTTGTTTGGGGCGACTAACAGGAAACTGCTTTCAATCACATCCGGCAACGTCTACACACGACCCCCGTGCTTGCCCATTTTGATGACACAGCCTCTACAGTGCTCCATACTGACGCCAGCAATGTTGGCCTCGGAGCTGTGCTTGTGCAGCACGAGGACGGCGAGGAGAGAGTGATCGCTCACGCAAGCAGCACTCTGTCACGCACAGAAGCAAATTACTCGACCACTGAAAAGGAATGCCTCGCCGTGGTGTGGGCAGTTATGAAATTTCGCCCATGCTTGTACGGCTGCCCATTCAAGGCTATCAGTGACCACCATTCGTTGTGTTGGTTAACAACTCTGGAAGATCCGTCCGGGTGATTGGCACGCTGGAGCCTTAGACTAAAGGAATTGGGTATAACGATGGTGTATAAGCCGGGAAAACGACACACGGACGCCGACTGTCTGTCTCGATCACCAATAAAGTCGGCTCCTTCTTTTGATGAAGAGACAGCGTTCCTCGGAATCCTCGACACGTCAACCATCGCAGATTACCAGCATGACAATCCTGAGCTACTTGGCTTCATTATTTATTTAGAAGGACGAAGCCAGAATGCACACAAAGCCTTTGCCATAGGACTATTGTCGTTCTGTCTACAAAACACTGTCCATTACAAAATGAACTTCTCGTCAGATGGGTCCACCTACTTGCTTGTCGTCCCTACCACTCTTCGTTCTGAGGTATTGCAAGCCTTCCACAACAAGGTGACATCCGGACATTTAGGCTACACGCACATACCGGGCAGAGTTCGAGGGAGGATTACTGGCCTAGACTCGCCGCTGCCGTGAAGCATTATGTTCGGACCTGCCTCGATTGGCAGCGGTGATATTCACCTCCGACGAAACCAGCCGATTTGCTACACCCTGTCCAGATACTGACAACGCCATTTGATAAGATCCGAATGGACCTTTTGAGCCCACTTCCCACCTCTAGTGTTGGTAACCGCTGGGTTATAGTGGTGACCGACTACCTTACTTGCTACACCGAGAAAAAGCCATCCAAGGAGGCAAAGCAGAGGAGACGGCCCGGTTCTTCATAGAGAACGTTATGCTGAGACGCGGTGCGCCATCAATCGTTATAACAGATCGCGAAACCGCATTCACGACCGCGCTTTTAGGTCATGTGTAGGTGCTCAGCGGTACTATCCATCGCAAGCTGACAGCTTACCATCTACAAACCAACGGGTTGACCAAGCGACTCAATGAAACTTTGGAACACAAGCTTTCAATGTATGTGGACATCAAACACAAAACTGGGACGAGATTCTCCCTTACATAACGTTTGCATACAACACTGCAAAGCAAGAAACCACACGGATGACCCCATTCACCCTTGTTTACGGACGAGAAGTAAGGGCGATGTTGGACGCGATGCTTCCACACAAGTGGATGACAACGAAACGAGTACTGACGTGTTTACTCAGAGCGCAGAGAAAGCCGGGCAGCTCGCACGTCTACGAATATACCAACAGCAAGAGTACGACGCCGGTCGCTATTAACCTACGTCATACACCTGTAACGTACGAAACCGGGGATATGGTATGGGTGTGGACGCCTGTACGAAGACGGGGACTATCCGAAAAGTGGCTCAGAAGTTATTTCGGACCTTATCGACTGCTGCGACGATTAAGTGACGTTACCTACGAAGTCGTCCCGGATATCCAAAACTGTACAAGGCGTCCCAGCACCGACCTGAACTTGTGCGCGTAGTGCACATTAAGCCATACGCCAGCGAGTGACTGCGAGGCACCGTCGCTTGTACAAAGTGACTTTATGCGCGAATCACTGGCTCAGCTATAGCATCGGGGCGATGCTCTTTTAAGGAGACGCAAATGCCGCACTAAAAACAGCAGAACGAAGACGATGTGCGCGCCAACAGTCTCGTGAAAAGGGGCACTGACGAAGACGACGTTCTTTTGTTTAGGTCTCGTGCTCTTCGCTCCTGCATAAAAACACACGCCGTCGGTTCTTGAACTTAACGTCTCGGTGATCTGCTTACGCTGAACCGCGACAATATATTGTCACGTTACAGGAGTCCACCGAAGCGAAAAAAAGGTGGAAGAATATATATATATATATATATATATATATATATATATATATATATATATATATATATATATATATATATATATATATATATATATATATATATATATATATATATATATCAAAAAAGTGATGCTGTGTCCGGGTAAGATTATCCGCAGTGAAGAAGACGCACGTACGAAGTGACTTTATTGACGTTTTGGCCGCGGGTCCGGCCACATCAGAATACAGTGTATGGTATGAGTGCTGTTTATATACATAAGCATATATGGAGGCCGAAATGTTGTAGGCCCATGTGCTCAGATTTGGGCGCACGTTAAAGAACCCCAGGTGGTCAAAATTTCCGGAGCCCTCCACTACGGCGTCTCTCATAATCATATGGTGGTTTTGGGACGTTAAACCCCACAAATCAATCAATACATAAACATATCAATAAGATAAAAGTGTGAAAATTGTCATGAAAGGCGATAAGTGGGCATATATAAATGCAAGTCACACAATTTTACGGGCACCTGATACACGTGTAAAAATATATAGTTTCCATGCGTGAACACGGGGCGGGCACGTTGTTTACAAATAAAAGATAAAACGCATAAATGATAACACGCATAACATGAAGAGTCCGACCGGTAATAGCAAGGTGACAAAAATAATAACAATAAAGTAATAACAAAGAGAAAAACACAAAGAGCTCTATAAAAGACGTAACGAAGCTGCTACGTATTCAACCGATACAGACAATGTAGTGCGACTTGCTGAGCAAGGTAGAGAACAGATGGACAGGGTGAAGCATGTTATACAGATAGGCAACTGAGTTTTCCTACGTTTTCATTCAGACCAGACGCGACGGCATCGAACTTAAAGATGAGGAATGATTCACGGGCTTATCCATCGTAATTTGTGTGGAAACTAGATTTTAGTAATGAGACCTGTATATTTTAAGAAGAGTGGTCAGGGAGGTGCATGTGTCTTTAAATGGGCAAGTGGGGCAAGGTGTTAGCATTAGATTTATGGTTGTTAAAACGCAGTCTAAAAGTCCCTTCTGTTTGACCAATGTACTGTATTCGCATAGCACCATTTATATCATGTATATCAAGCTCTTAGAGTCACAGTCAAGATTGTCTTTCATATTTAAGCAAAGTTGGAGCCAGTACTGGTGATTTCTTGGCATGTGCGAATGTACGGGCATACTTTGCATCGCGGTTTTCGGCAAGGACTGTACACGATCGTCCAAGGAATGTCTGTTTTTGACGATGATGATGATGAGAGTATGTCTCAATGTCTCAAACATTTTTAGCTTTGCGATACACTGCTTTAGGTTGTTCGGTGAAAATTGCTATATATATATATATATATATATATATATATATATATATATATATATATATATATATATATATATATAAAATTGAAAAAAATCAAGCACGTAGGAAAAATTGTTTTGTAAAAGACTGACGTTTCGGCCGCGGGACCGGCCTTCGTCGGAGTGATGTGAACATGCGACGGCAACGCAATATAAAAAGGCCAGTAACGTATCATAGCGCTGTTAATGGCTGACAAGCGGTTGTTAAAAGCACGTGGGACACAGTGCGCGTGATAAGACAAGAAAAAAATGAGATTACAAGCGTGCGAAGACGA